TCCATATTGCAAATGATATAGAACAAATAATAATTAGAACAGGCGATTTTAAGTAATTTAAGTAGGTAATAAAAATAAATTGTAATTTTATTTTAGATTTAAACATAAAAACATAAATAAATAAATAAATATTGTTTAGTATATTTCCTAACAAAACAAAGTACGGACCTGTTCGGCCATATTTCATTCTTCAGCTTGCCCGGGTCTTTCCTTAATTCGTATCAGTTAGTCACTTTCTTATATCTATGAACAGACTTTACCACCCAGATAAGATATAATTCTGGTTTTTTAGTTCTCAATTTTAATTGGCTGATTTAGGTTTTGTAGTAGAACTAAGCAACAAGAGATACCGTCTAAGCATTAAGGAATGACTTGTAAAGAAAATTGCCAACACCACAAGGCGGCATTTATGAAATAAAAAAAAATATTTTCAACAATTTTGTACATAATTACTGTTTAAATGAATTGGACATAAAGGGGTATTTAATACAAAAAAAAACATTTTAGTAAGGCTTTGGCCCTCGTGTAGCCCAAGTAACTGGGCCATACTACAAAGTATTTTTTGCAAGCAGCTGGTTTTGATCATTTATAGCTAATCAAAATTACTCAACCTGTCCTACTTCACCTCATGTTAAGTTTGTTTGTTTGTCGTAGAGTAAGATTAACACCTCCATCAGCAAATGTTTTACGACCTGTTCGATTCATTATTCCGTAAAAACGCGTAAATCACGTCCTTATTGCCTGCAATATAACGTCGTAAAGCAATTTAAAAATCAGTAGGACTCGTAATTTGTTCTACGTCAGCGGGGACGCTATAGCGACAACAGCTTCCCCGAACAAAATATTTACCCCACAGTCGTAAAACTAGTTGCAGCAAATCGCGAAGACGCATTGTTGGTGCTTTGGGTTGACTTTATGGTACCAATTGGCTACTGTTCCGCTCGCCAAGCGTCGCAAATCGCTCGAGCTATTTTTTTTTAGGCGACCGCTCTTTGTAAGAGTTGCTCTGTATAGTACATGTGCCACGTAGACAGCATACAGCTCGCAGCTGTGCCGTGAGAGGCGAAAAAAATTAATCATATCGATACGGATCTACAACAAACATTATACCTACAACAATGTAACGAGACAGACCATAACATGGCCGTACATTCGTATGATTCGTTTGGTTTTATTTTTGGTTATATTGTGATGTTAATATCGTGCAATTTAATGCGAGTAGCCCCGCAATAATCTCGGTCGTGAAGCGCAGCCTATATTTTAGAAAAACGCGGCCGGTATAGTACATTTGAAGATGTTTTTATGGCTTTTATGGCGATCTAGAAATGTTACCCGCAGGTAATCATGTATTTATTAAATATAAGAAACAAGTAACGATCTCAATAGCAGAAAATTTGAGTTAATTATTTTCATAGTCTTTTTAGTAATTACCATGCAGTCCAATCCACTTTTTCCACGATCTGGAGAAATTTCCATGTCAATGCATCACAAACATATGCTGTTTTAATAAAAAATGCTTTTAAAACCTGAGGGTTAAAGATATTTATGGGAACTGATCTATGTCGAAACTAAATACTTTTAAAAGACTACACTATATTGTATTAAAACATAGTGATTAAAATTTAATGATTCGTTTAATTTTACTTGCCTAATTTTTTCCTTTAAATCTTTTAAATAGTGTTCTGGCGAAGCTTTGATAGCTAATAATTCTGCAAAGCTATCGATGTTAGAGGTTAGTTTATAAAAAATATAAATCAACCAATTATTTTGCATTTATGTTGATATCAATATTAATAAATAAATGTGCGTTTCTAAAAACCCTATATAACTTTTTTATTCGTAAAGATAGAGATATTTAGAAAAACATTTTTTGGAGATTTTTTAAGGGCAAATCTACCTGTTTCACCGATTTTGTCATAAAGTTACATTTTTTTAAATGAAATACCCCAATTTTTTTATAAAAATTAGTTTTCTAATAAAGTTTCCTGTCAAACGATGTGCCATACACCTATTTTTATTAATTAGTTAAAGAGATATCTGCAATTTTTAATAATTACCATAGTAGGCTGTGCTTAACTCTGAGCTATGCAGTTTTATGGTATCTATATTGGTGGCTATGATCGGATAAAAACAATTGCCATGATACACAAGCCCAAGTGTTAAAAGTGCCCTCTTCGTCAGGCTATAAAAATGTTCGAAAAATTTACGTACGGCATGATAAAATATTATATTGAAATTAATGAAAATCGACAGACGGCGTTAAATCTATATTTCCGGAGATATACGGAAAGAAGGCAACCTAGCTCAAAGGTTAGGTCCTATCGACCCCGATGGGTGCATCAATTACGGCAACGAGATTTTGCTCCAAGACGTGCACTTTGCAGGTGGTACCTAAATAAATGGCAAGAAGACCCCAATTTTGCCAGGAAAGTTATTTGGACGGATGAGGCTACGAGTTCTAATGATGAAATATTCAACAAATTCTAGTTTATCGATAATTTGCCACTTCAGCAAAATAATGAGAAAACTGGATCGGAAATATCCTATATATTGACGCTCCAGGACTTCAGACCTGACCCCTTGCGACTTCTTTTGGTGGTAATTGGTAATTATTGTAAACTACAAGTTAAAGTGCGATGTTGCTGTGTCTCCTGGTGTCGCAGCCTACTTGATTTTATATGAAAAAAAAAACAATAAAATTTTATTTTTTAATTAATTAATTTAATTATTAAATTAAATTAAAATTAAAATTTTATAATATTTTACTATGGTAAATATCAAAAATTGCAAATATCTTTTAAACCATTGAATAAAAATAGGTGTATGGCACATCGTTCGACAGGAAATTTTATTAGAAAACTGTTTTTTTAGAAAAATTGGGGTATCCCAATTAAAGAAATATAACTTTGTGCGATAACTGGTGAACTAAAGGCTCTAAGACAAAATGGGTAAAATAGAGAGATTCCCAATTAAAAAAAACTTAAAAAACTAACCAAAACTCTATTCTTACCATTAAAACAGTTATAGACGGTCTTTAAAATCGCACATTTTTGAGAATCACCCTGTAGCTCAAAAACGCCTTGAAATATCACGATGCGGTTTTCAGTTTTTGACTTCTTTCGAAAATCGAGCCCGTAACATGCATATTAGTTTTGGATTAACTACCCGGTACGTTCTTAAAAGGCATCGTAAATCGAAACTATATACCCCATTTTTTACTTTACTGTCTTAAAAATTAGGTAATTTTTACTTCAGCAATAATATCTTTCCAACGTTTGATAACAAGAACATCCGCAGCAGTTGCATTTTCTAGTTGTTCTCTACATTAGTTAACGCTTTCTCTGAGGCCTCTAGTCTTTCTGTATATGACATTTTTACTGGAATAATTTCGCTTTAATTATTTCTTGATCAGTCATTTCATCTTCTACACTGTCACGGTTTAACGATTCATAAACATCCGTTTTCGTAACATTTTCACATCCTGGAATTTATGGTCAAAATTTCCTGTACACTTCCTTCATCTTCGGTTTCTTCTGCATCTTTGAAATGTCCCTCCTCTTGTTAAATCAATTTTGACCAAGCTATCCAATATAAAACATTTTTTAAATTTCATCTAAATCTTATAAAATATGCGTGTATAGCAAACGCCTGTAATTGTGTAATAATGTGTTTTAAATATTCCAGCACACCCTATGTTTCCAACTTGAAGTTGCTCCTCACTTGGCTGAGTAGTAACAAAACATATTTTCTAGGGTATCCGCGCTCTTTAAAAGAAAACACTTCCTTTGGAACGAAACTAACCTTTTTAAATAGATCCGCATTCATCTAGGCATTTTGTAGTTTTATATAAAGCAGTAAAATCATTGAAACAAATATTCTTGAACGCTCGTGATTTTGCTGACTTAGCAATACAGAATAATAGTGGTCCAACTCCCGTTTCTGAGGGCAACGTTTTGTAGTTCAAGCCGGTTTCGCCACAATTGTAAATCTGGTCTGGTTGTAAATCATTTCGTTTCATAAGCTTCATAAAATTTTCACAGAATTTCAGTTGACGTACACCATGTCGTTTTTTCCATCGGTCTAGCCATCCATCAATTGCAGAAAAACTTTCACGCCCTTCAATGACCGGAAAATCTTCGCTTAAACCCATTGCTTTTTGTTTTCAAATGGTTACCCAAATTAGTATTATACGTTCTCGATTATGCGTAAACACAACTACATCTAAATCTTTTGATATATTTTTAAGCAATTCACTATTAACAGGATTTCAGAAAATCGTAATTCGGATAATCGGAATTGTACTGTATATGCATTTTTATAATGAGCGATTTTATACCAGCTAAGATTTAATATACTGCTCACGGTAGTCTAAAATAAAATGGGAAACTCGAATAACAGGTTGCTATTTTACTAGAGTCAATTTCTACAATTACTTGTTCTGTAACTACGCGCATAAATTTTTAACCAAGTTAAAAAACAAAGGTTAAAATACACGTTGTATTTGAAGGAAGAACAAACAACCTAATAAAGCAATGGCTTTTGTTAATATTGTTGGCAACTTAAAAGTGTTAATGAACGGCATAGTGGTTGGAAAAGATGACGTATTGTTGCCTCAACTTAGCATGTTCAGAGGCCTCACTTACGAATCAAAAAAGGGTCTGTCTAACAACTCGCTCAGGTTTTTCTAAAGCTAAAACCCCTTTCATCAGAAAGAAAAAGTTTTATTTGTCGGTGGCAATTTATAAAATCAAATTATTTGACAATTTTGGTCATTAAAAAATAACAAGAAAGCAGCTGCCGAGGATTCAAAAGTGTGTGGTTGTTTGAAAACTGTTTTCCTCTCATTAACGTAATCGAGATCTTTATTTATTATATAGGTCAAAATTCAAGAACGACTAATTTAACTCATCCAAAATTGAGAAAGATCGAGATAAGCAAATCCACCAACCTACCGTAATATATAAATGCCACAAAACAAAATTTCGCGGGAAGTAGTCTATGTATGACTGCGACGTTGATAAAGTGGACCCGATATGTTGTTGCTTATAATTGTTGCGTTCTTTGTGATACTTGCAATCAGTTGCGCATCTAGCGTTAAAGAGTTCGTTAGATGTAAACGACGAAGAGCGAGAATGCCTTGTCCACGTGGATATCAGCCCATATTGGGCAACTTACCCACCATTATACGATTGATACCGGGTAAGTTGTGCTTTTTCCGCTTAGTAAGTATCCGTGGGTGAGGCCAGGGTCAAAGGTATCCTTATAATTCTGGGTTCCATATTTCTCAAATACAAAAACATTACCTATAATTTTTGGTTAGTTTGATTTGTGTTGTTTCCTGACTTATCTAAATGCACTTGTGAAGTCATATCTGCCCACTTGAAGCTAATAAAAATTATAATCTGATCTATTTTTAAAACATGAACTTGTAAATCTAAATGCTATCTTCTCCAAGCGCAAAATTATTTAGTAATTATTAGTATATTATGGAACAAAGAGCTTTTGATACTTTGTATTTCAGGATCAAAAATTAAGCGCTATTGAGAAACCTATATTATTATTAGTAAGAAAATTTATACAAAAAGGTTGAGTCCAATATTTGTATTCCAATTAATAACTAATTATATAAGGTGAAGTCATTCAAAACCTATTGCTTGAAATTAATAAGTGTTTTTATTAGTAAAATAAATTTCTTAGAGACTAGATCTAAATATAATTATAATGGAAAAGCAGAACCGTAGAAACTTAGCATTTTATTTGCGTTAAGGTAACGCTATATTATAGATGTCTCCCTCTCTAGCGTTATTATTTTAAATTTTGGAAAAGTTTAATACAAAAAGTGTGGCGTTTAATAGGCATATTATACTTACGTACTTAGTTATATCCAAGTTGTGCCAAAAAAAGCTTAGTATATCAAAGCAATATTTTTTAAAAATTGGAATTCCTATATATTATTTTATAAAAAGAAATATCCTTTTACGACTTTAAAAATAGATAACATGTTATTTATTACATTAAGGCCAAAAAAAAAAATGCAAATAGACAAATATACAAATATTATACAAAAAATATATAGGTAATATAAATATATAAACACTAATTTGTTGATTAGGAATATTGCGTAAATATTGAAAATGTCCTCCATTTTCGTGAATACATGGTTGATACCCTCTTTTTAATTTTTCTGAAGCTTCAATTATCTAGTCAATATTTAGTTCGCTCTTAATTAGTTCTTTAATGTCATCTACATTATCATGCCAGGCAAAATCAATTTTGTTATTTAAATACCCCTACAGAAAAGTATCTCGAAGAGTAAGATTTGTTCTATTGGCTGGCTACAGTATCACCCAATGCATCATCATTATTTAAGAGGTTATTTTTAAAACAACCTCAAACGTTCAAGGATCGACATCAAAATATTTTTTCTCATTTTCTGCAGCTCAGTAGCATAATTTCTTTCTATTAGGATTATTCGTCAGTCCATAAAATTTTATGAAAAACCCGTAGATCATTCTCCAAAATTTGCAATATGTCTACAAAATGCTAATCTTTTATTTAATAAATTCATAACATAGTCAGTCAAATGCTGATCTTTGATAAATTTAAAAGGGTTTTTTTAAAGTTCTCGAAATTTTTCCTAAACTTTTCTGCAAATCGACAACACTTTCGCGTATGGAATTTAATGGGTTTTCGAAAACAATTTTAAATGTTATGTATCAAATAATTTGGCTAAACAAGTTGTTAAATAGATCTACATAATATTAAAAGGATATTTAATTCTTCGTCAGGATTTAAAACGCGTTTCCTAGTTTTTCTATCAAAATTTTTGTTTCTTCCAAATGTTGTATAAATGAGATGGAATGACATTTAAATGTGCCATAACTGTTATAATTAAATAATAGAGGAATTTATTTTTGAAATTTGCCTATAAGGGCCATTTATTTATTATTTTTATCTATGCTTTTTGACACACCTTGTATATAAACGAGAATGTAATATTAAATATACATTTTAAACCCTACAACTTGTGCACTAACCTTTTTTTTTTTAATGTAAAATAACACTTATAATGGATTTTAGAGGAATTGTTCCGAACCCTACGAGAATGGGGATTGAACTACTACCCAGTCTATAATACGTACGCTTTGTTCTACACTGCAACGCACATCTGCGGTCCTGAAGAAACGGAGGTAAGTCTCGAAACCTTTCCACGTGACACTCGGCCGCAATTGCATCTTGGCAATTTTAGGCGTTAATTTCAACGATGAAACACAATAGCAAAGGAACAATATATCATTTCTTGGATAAATGGTTGGGAGAGGGTCTTCTGACCAGCGCGGGTAACGTAATGAAAATTTTCTAGAAAAGCGTTAAACGTCATTCATTCTCACAGGAACTAAATGGCAAACGAGAAGGAAGATCCTAACACCGGCGTTTCATTTCAAGATCCTGCAGCAGTTCGTAAGCGTCTTTAACCGCGAAACACACGTCTTGGTGAAGAAACTGGAAGCCGCTTGTGATCAACCGCAGTTAGACATAACTCCTTATATCACCAACTTCACGTTGGAGACCATCAACGGTATATCGATTCGTCTACCAAAAGTCACCATTGATAATAAAATATTTCAGAAACATCAATGGGAGTGAAGTTGGACGTGAGCACCACAGAAGGAAAACGCTACAAAAACGCCATTTACGGTTTAGGCAACCTTTTAAACGAACGCGTGCTGAAGCCGTGGTTCTACCAAGACTTGACTTATTTCCTATCCCCATCGGGGAGACTTTCCTTAAAATTAACGGATATAATGCACAAATTTACGGATAAAGTGGTCCGAAATAGGGAGAAAAATTTCGAGCAGTTCAAAATAATCGACCAACACGTGGACGACTCCTATTCTTCGAGGAAAAAGCTCGCTTTTCTAGACATCTTGCTCAATGCTAAACTACAAGATGGCATCATCGACGACGTAGGCATAAGAGACGAAGTCAACACATTTATGTTCGAAGTAAGAATAGAAAATATTAATAAAAATGTGTTCATTATTTTTATTGTAATGTTGACTCTGATGGACAAATGTAATAGTTTAAGAAAAACAATAATGAACCGTACTAGTAACTCAAATGGTACTCTATTTAGCAGTACTGACAGACTGACGGCATTTGACTCACGAGTTTATTTGACACGAGCGAAGCGCAGCGGAGTGTTGCATACTATTTCTTTTTTTCTACGACCGTTAGTTTTTGGGTATATTTTCGCAAAACAACACGAATACATTCACTGACATGACCGTCAGAATTGACAAACGTCAAAATTCAAAGCGCGGGAAATATCTCCGAAAACATCCGATTGCTCCCAAATCCGTGCGGTAAAATCCCGGAAATGTCCGAAGTGACTCGGATTCATAGGAAACGAAACTGACATGGTAAAGTGACGCTTCCCGTACGTTAGATCCATGGGTAATTAGGTATTTTACAGACAGGAGCAGAAAAAATTGGTTAGTTATTCCCCACTTATATTCATGTTTATTAAGTTATTGCGAAGTTTCAACGTCACCATGTCGTTTTTAGGGCCATGACACGACCGCGGTCAATTTGACTTTTGCTCTTATGCTGATAGCTTGTCACCAAAACGTGCAGGTACAAATAACGGCCGGCAAAATAAAAAAAGGAATAATATAGAAACTGTTTACAGGAAAATATCTACCAAGAGATTATGCAAGTGCTGGGCAACGACCCGGAAAAGCTTCCGTCTTACAACGACCTCCAGGAGCTGCAATATATGGAACGGTAAGCAAAATAAAAGCACGGTAATTTACCGTTTTATTGAATAACTGATTGTAACAGATGCATTAAAGAAAGCCTGAGGCTATATCCTAGCGTTCCACTAATAGTAAGAAAAACTGAAGAAGACATCGAAACGAGGGTGGGGATAATCCCAAAGGGCTCGGAAGTGTTCGTTCACATCTACGATCTGCACAGGAATCCTGATGTGTGGCCCGATCCGGAAAAATTCGATCCCGATAGGTTCCTATTAGACAACTGCAAAACGAGGCATCCTTACGCTTACATCCCTTTTAGTGCCGGACCCAGAAATTGCGTAGGTGGGTGATTAAACCGGATCGTCTTTGTTGGCGCATCTCAACAAATCGGTTTTAGGTCAAAAGTTCGCGGTTTTGGAGATGAAAGCTGCGCTATGCGGAGTTTTGAGGAAGTTCAAACTGGAACCGGTGGACACGCCCGAGACTTTGGTTCTTTATCAAGATTTGGTGATAAGGTCCCGTCACGGGGTCAAATTGAAACTTGCTTTGAGATAAGTTTTTTGACAAATTTGTATTATATTATTATAAAAATGTGATAATTAGAATCAAATCCAATGCAAATTGTAAAAAAAGTCAAAATTTGGATTTGAATATAGTTAAATAAAAATCGCAGGATTTTAGATCAGCATTCAGAGCTGTGAACGAGAGTTTATGCCAACCTCATGTCTTTGGTGCAATAGAGCACCAAAGAAAATTTCTATAAACGCTGTTGATTATCTTTATAGTGTGCCATATTTCACTTAAGGTTAAGTGTAAATTATTTGATATAATATTATATTATAAAGAAAAAGGAGGCCAAATTTTCATCAAAAAGTTTTGTAAAAGACAGGCAAACTAAAAGTGAAGAAAAGACTTTCGAAAAAAGCTTAGTTTTCGAACCTTATAGAACTCCTTTAAGAATATTTCTGATGTATGATGTGAACATTGTGGAATCAATCTTATACCGTTTTAATAAAAGGATTCATCTGTATCTCCTTAATTATCTGAAGATTTTAAATTATTTTCTTTTCATTTCGTAATTATTTTTTGTGGGCCAATAAAAACCATTTATTATTATTACTTGTTAGAATTAAGTGAATAATTTTACTATTATCGTACAACCATATTTGTTTCAGTTTCAGTTCATATTAAATAGTAGTTTATCAAATTTTAACAATTTCCGTGTGTGACGATTGTATAAACATTAAACGTTTTCTGCCAATTTAATAATTTCTCAGGGATCATAAGCAAATAAATTAGGTAAAACAACAACATATTAATTAAAGAGTGAAAAACAAACTCATTTAGCCCTAATTATAACTCTCATACATAGAAACATAAAAATTATCAACCATTCTTCAACTATAGCATGTTTGAGTTCTAGAAGATTCCTTGGAGCAACATTTCGCATTTTTAACTTCAGTAAATTTTCTCAGAACTAACACTTCTAATAAACATCTTTCAGGCATTCAGATATAGATAAACTTGCCGCACCATAATGGACCTTCACGAAAATTGGAGTCAAGTCGATTTTAGCATTTTGAATATCCTCGTCAACTGATATTTGTTGATTAGAAGCAGAAGACTAATTCTAGACTCTTCAGTAAAAAAACCTTGAGCTCAGTCGTTAATGTTCTCCCTGACAAACTTTAGGCTACTACTATTTTCTCGTATTCCATTCTCTCTTAACCTATTATGTACAAGTTGGCTAGTAATATCGTATTTCTAGATATTTTTGCTCATTTAATAGCCTTCCTGTACAATCATACATGAGCAGAGGTTTAAGTATATCGTTATTCTATCAATACTCTAGCTGAGAACTGCCTAATTGATCTCTTTATGATATATTTGTGTACAATTCTATAAGCTCATACAAGATACAAATATGTAAAACAGTTATGTACGATTTTACGCTGTAAAAATATATTTTCCTTACATTCCATTTTTAATTTTTCTCTTGGTTTTTGCCGTAACCTTTCCTCACCTCAAACTATAGTAAAGAAAACTATAGAATATAGAAACAGTCCAAGTGAGTACGGAGACGTAAAATTCCTTCCTCTACTGCAGAATAAAAACAAAATATTGACAGCATTTGCTCGTGAAGAGGAGATTTTTGCTCAACTTATTTGATAATTCGATTCATGCGCTCTAAAGTTGTGATATATAAATATATATAAAGTGATATTATCTTTGCATTTTCTGTTAGACACTCTGTAAAACAGACAAGCACAATTTGTCATTTCAAAAGTTCGTTATTGAAATTCCCCCGCCCCGCGACCGCCGTAATCTTCTCTCGTCCTGACAGCGCGGGTTTCTTTTATCAACACATTCACCAGTGAATGGGTTTTGTTTTACGACCATTTAGTGTACCGTGCTGAGGCATTCGCAGCGGGTAAGCCACTAAAACGACTCCCATGATGGTCCTTTATTTCCCAACGATACCAGAACCGTTTGTAGGCCAGCGCTATGGGTGTAACATTAGTTCAACTCTTAAAGGAATTCCAACGGCGTCGTGGAAGGGGGGGGGATGCGGCAAAATGGACCCGGCCTGGCCTTAAACGTTCGTAAAATAGTCAATTCGATGGAACTAGTTCTACTTTTTTTTCGGAGATTCTGCTAACTGGCATCGCCGAGCTATTAATTTTTTCCGAGTGACTATGCGACGCTCATGGGAGCACCGTTTAGGTTAATTTAAATTTATTTTTCCCGGTAGATACCTCGGACGGGTAGTATGTTGACTTACCTTTTAGTTGTTTTCTTGACGCAGGCGAGTGCGCTCCTTAATACGTCCCTGTGTCAGTTGCGCATGTTTTAGCGAATGTTTTTTCACGCGAATATATACTTAATTTGTTTTTAAATATACTTTTAATCCAAAAGAGTTGATATGATATGATATGTTATGATATATGATAAAGCGGAGCAGGTACAGTGTAATATTACCGTGATGCCACCGGCAGGATTCTGCGGAAACATCCGACGTGTTTCGGACCTTTTAGTCGCGGGACATAAAACTTTTCATTGGCCATATGATATTTTTCACCAAATTCGGCAATTCACTGATTTATATTTTCGAAAATACAAGACAAATTAAGAAGCTTCCTTTTTGAGTCTATGTATTATTATTATGTCTATTATTGGTAAAGTCTATTTTTATTTATAGGTTTATAGGTTATAGAATTTGTATTATACCAAAGCTGGTTGACTACTTAATCTATATTTTTTTTAACTAGCTTTGTTGATCAGCAAGCTTAGGTTCACGAATACTATCTCTTCCTGCAAAGTTTAGGATAAAATAAGTCATATTGATTTCGCTCGATTGGATTAGAACTTCTCATTAGTGAACTACATAATAAGAATAAAAATTTCAATTTTTGATAGATCTTTTTATATAGAATTTTTTTAAATGAACAACAACAATTTTTGTCTACAGTTTTTGAGTTATGACGTCACATATCTCTCTTTAAATATGTATTATTAATTTTGAATAAAATTAAAAAAAGATGCGGAAATTCGGTACACGGTGAGCTAAAAACAAAAATTATACCAATGAGGTGTGTACTAAAGCTCCTATTAAGAGCTGTGTTTATCTCTTTATATCCCAAGAGACTATCGTTATATAAAGTACCCCGCAAAAGTATGTATCTTAAAATCATCCCTTAACTTCCCAAATTCATTAAAAAAAATTATAAAATCACTAGTTCAATTATAAAAAAGTTAGAAACGATACTCGTACAAAGTTCTCAAGATACCAGGAGACGACGAATTGGAGCTGTATTATGTGTCTTAAAGTACATCATCTAAGTACTATATTACGTTTATTTGGAATTTGTCTTTGGACGTTTTGTAAGTAGGCAGGTTCCTTTTAAAGCTTCTTGCCTCGGGAATCCTTTATTTAATAAAAATTCGGAATCATTTTTTTATGTTGCATCTAATGACAAGTGATTTCGACTTGACAAAACGGTAAAATTAGTGATATACTCGTAACAACATGTGTTGTATCCTAGCTATGAATCAATTATTGGCTTTAGGGTTTACTAAGGAACAATAGGTATGAAGGTCGTAATTACTTTTTTGGACTAACGGCAGAGACACGCAATGCTTATACTATAAAAGTTTGCCATTAAATTTTGCAAAAACTGACAGTGTGACCCACGTCCGCCCCGCTGCGGAATATATTTTTAAATCGATCTCGCTACGTATTCACGCACTATCTATCCGTAAATCAAACAATAACAGCGGAGGCTTAGCTTGGGCTACGAGTGTTTACGAATTTTATCAATTTTTCTGCTCCAAATTTTGTTTAACGCACCTATCGGACCGGTTGTTTGAGGATTCAGTCAGTTTCGTGCGTCCGAATCGGTATCTTCGGTCGTGTTGTGCTGAAAACATCGCGTGATACGTTTTGACGGTGAAGTTTGGCCAACGGATTAAGTTCAAGTAATTCACGCCTAGATAAGATGCCGTTTCCGATCGATTTTTGCTTAATCGACGGAAGCACAAATCTTTCTTATGATACGTGTTGGAAGATGATACATTTTTTATGAGTTAATACATTTTATCATAAAAAAATCGGTTGAAACACATAAAAATAAGGCGGGTCTCAGTTTGACAGCGTGAAGTGGCAAACTTTACGTGCTGTCAAGTATTTGACAATTTCTATTATATGGAAGATCTATACTTCTGGTAATCTATAGTCTAACGAGATATCGAAAGAGCAAAAAGAATCGTACTTTAATCAAATGAATTGATTTATTTATTATATTTATTTCAAAATTAAATTTTAAAAATAATACATAAAATAATGCTTGAGCAAGATTTTCTGCAAACAGTCACCCATAACCCAATGAGGCATATATTTGCATATATACGACTTCTATACTGTCAACTATCCAATCAAAAATGATGATTAATATTAGCAAATAATATCTTTTTTTTGTAACTAATTACTTGTAATGGTACCAACAGAAGACCTTATCTACGTATTTAATCTAGTACACATGTTCATATCACGTCTGTAATAACATTTAGACAAATGGAAAATTTAAATTAATTTTCTTATTTCGTCTCTGTTCGTAGGAGATAATTCACATAACCTATAGGGAGCAGTGCGAAATTAAGTACAAAAATGATCCGAAAACCTCAAATCAACATTAAGGAACAGTCGCAGATTCCTAGAAACAGTTGAACACTCAAGAAATGCGTTACTGAAATTGATGTGTAAAAATTTTTAGCGTAACCAAACGATCTAGATCACTATTAAAATGTTCCTATCCGTAAAATTATTATTTTATAAAATAGTCGACTCATCAGCATAAGGCATCAGACGCTATAGGGACATTTGCATTGTTTTTAAATATTACGTTTTTTTTTATAATCTGACAATTACGACCTTTCTAAACCCCCATACGTAAGACTTGACCAACAGCTTTAAAGAGTGTTCTTTTCCCCACATCCTCGTTGCTCAAAAGGGGAAATTCTAAATTCACTGATATAAAAATTATAAAGTGTTTTAGACAAATTTCAATTGTTTTGAGACGGCACACTTTTTGGCACAATATTTACTTTCATTTTCATTCATTTTGAACGTATGAAAAGGAACATCCTGTATCGCATGTAATAACATTTTACTATTGCATATTATAGACGTTTTGGGGTTCATATAAAGCAGTTTTTGATATAGAGAATATAAATTTCACACAACTTCCAATAAAAGATTTGTAAATAGTATTACAGTAGCGTGTGTAAGTTTCTTGGAAAAATTAATTATGTATGAGGTCCTGAGGCTTTTAGCAAGAAATTTCTGTCCAGTGCATTTAAAATGTAAATTTGCACTAATTGTGAGGTCGTAAAAAAAAAAAAAACATCTTTTATGAACATTTTGCAAGAATGCATTAGGCACTGGATCCAAATTTTAAGACCACTTTAGCAATCACAGGAGTCAGATTTTGATGTGCATAATACCAAAGAAATTAAAAAAAACAGACAGATTTCAACCATTTGTACACGCATACAAACGTTTTCAAAAAAACGTGCGAGATTTATCATTTTAGGTTCAATTGGATAAAAAATTTGTTGGAAATTCCAATTTTTTCCGAAAACGTATCGTAGGGAATTGTATTATTGTGTAAAGTACCTTAACGTCAATTTGACATGCCAGACTGCAAAAAGCAGAGATAATTCGCAAAACACAAGATATGGAGCAATTGCCTATACCTCTGGCGGAAAGTGATTTAACGATTCCGACTCGATAATTCATCTCGTCGGTTAGCAATGCGGTAACAACAATATTAATCGAAATTACATGCATTTAATAAAGTCATCACAAAAAACGGCCTTGGGTTGTGCAAACCGTAATAGACATGTTTCCTTGATCGTTGTGTTAATAACGAGTGAAAAATGCAACGATGTAATAGCTCTTTTAAAGCGAGAGATAATGAAAAAAATGTATGAATAGGTTTGCGGTTTTTCAGTTGATAAAAGGGTAACTATATTTTCCGAAGCCAGAAAAGTAATTAACGGACAGCGGATGTGACCGAGTAGGTATTTCCCCAAGAACCCATTTACAAAACTAACAGAAAGCGATTTATATTCTAAAAAATCATATTAAATTTAAATATCTGTTAGTAAATTCTAAAAAGTAATGAACGAAAAACTATCAATTGTCGTCTAAAAAAAGTAGAACATAATTAACATAATATCAATATCAAAGTTCCAACTTTTAATCAGAACTGTTCTAAATTTCCAAAAGACAAGGTCATTTACGCTACAAGTTTCAACTCGTTTAGTTTAGGTCTGTTGACCAGGCACCCGTATCATTTTTAAAGTGGCTTTATGGAAATCTCATTTATCATTAAATGTACTTAGTTTTTTGAGACCTGCAAAATTGTACCGTCCAATTTTGAATAGTAGCTATCGTTTCTGAGCTACCAGGAAAAATTTTAAAATTCACCATATTTTTCGTTGCAACTTTTTGCCAGAAAATAAAAATTTGAATTCAACGTTTTGTTTTTTATACGCAGGTATTATTTTTTTGCATTAATTATAACCGTTTTAGTTGATTTCCGTAATGGTTTTGATTTAAATCTAATTCGGCGTTTTTGTGTTTTTTGTTATTTTGTATTTTATGATTTCCTTTTAAAAAAAATTATTATTTAATATAAATTATTAAAATATAAGAATGTTCTTTACCAGTTTAATTAGTTTTATCGATTCTTGTAAAACTTTTCTTTAACTCACGCGTCAACCATCCATAGACAGTATCTAATATATATAATATATATAATAATAATAACAATAATCTTTAATGTCTAACATCCATTTAGAAGACAATTTCATCTAAATAACTATAACTATAAAAATTATTCAACTATATTCACTTCAGCAAAGTAATAGTGAAACATACATTATATCATTTCAGACTAAGACACTAAGACAAAAATCAACTGATAGAGAGGACCTTTGATCAAGAAATTGATTCTTGGAGTTACTAGGTGAAATAAAGGAGACCTTGCAAGAACATGAAAGTTCAGCTGGCTCAGCAACTAAGGGTAAAGTTTATATAAAAACTGAATCGAAAGGTACCTCCTACGATTCAACAGTGAGGGAACCTTAAACAATGGTAATAAATCACTGTGTGACAGTCCCTTAGCCGTAATATTTTATTAAACGTTATCCAGATGGTAATTAAAAGTTATAGTTTTGTTTGAAAATGTCATTGCGAAACACTTATTTGTATTCAGGGGTAGGTTGTTAGAATCAGAGCAAAAACCACTAATTTTCGAAAAGATTTAGTTAAAATTAATTTTTAAATGTATTTCATTTCTGTCAAAAAGTTGCATGAACAAGTGCTTACAGAATCAAAATATCTTTCACATTAATTCAAAATCCGATTAGACTGTTTTCCAAGTCTCGAAATAGTAGGGCACATAAGAACACATCTAAAAAATAAGGTGCTCGAGAAAGCTATTAATATTATCCAGATAGCATACTTCGCTAGACGAAAATTTTTTTATATAGGACCCTACCTCAAATTTTATTCATTGAGATAGGTCGATGTAGACTAACGAAGAGTCTTCCTCAAAAAAAAGAAGCCCGTTAAAGTTTTATCGCCGAGAAACTTCTTCTATGCCATGTACCGTTTCGCTCCGTCGAAATTTTTATTCTGAAACCGGCTAAATTTCAAGGTCCGGCACCCATGACGTCAGCGCCCTAACGCGCGGATCGCAGAGATACAGCGCGGCTTACCGGGCGCATTTTCGCGACCTTCCTTCCCTTGTGACGAAGAGAGCCGTTGATTTGCGAGTACCGGGTACCATCTGCTTAACCTGCCAGCCCCGCCCGACGGCCAATGGGCGCGCGGACCGCCAGAAGATGGCCTGGGACCCGGCAAGTGGGGTCGTCAGTCTTCAACTCACCTATGACAAGTGCAAGTACCTGCCCGCAAGTACCATACGCCGGTACAACTGTACACCCGGTACGACGACGTCAATGTGCGGGATGATGATGATGATGACGATTGTTGTCGTAGTATATAAACAGGCTCACTACGCGGTTGATACCGGTGCTGATGGATATTGAGTAGTGAGATGAGGAAAACAGTGATGAACGGACTGCTAAACAGGTGAAACCGGGAAATGAAGTGGTGCGTGGTCGTTGCCGCAGCCCTGCTTCTCGCCCTGGCAGCCCCTCGGGCCCTGGCTTGTGGTCCTGGTAGGGGCGCGGGGCGCAGAAGGGGCCCCAGGAAATTGACGCCGCTCGTGTTCAAGCAGCACGTGCCGAACGTCCCGGAAAATACGCTCACGGCCAGCGGGCTCACCGAAGGCCGGATCGACAGAAACGATTCCAGATTTAAGGACTTGGTGCCGAATTACAGTCCAGATATCATGTTTAAGGACGAGGAGGGCACCGGGGCGGATCGGCTGATGACTCAGGTGAGTTTCATTTTCTAACGCGAATCAAATCAAAATTTCTCAAATATTGGAATATTCAGGTCGGTAAAGTAAAACGTAGATATTTAAAAAGAGACAAGAAAAAAAAAAGAAAAATGTATTTACTAACAAACTCATTCATGTGAATATTACCTTTTTCAGTTTGGGTATTACTTCAAAGTTAAGATTTTCTGACTACTTTTATTTTGTCAACATCGATATGAACAAAAATATTTAGTATTTTATACAACGTATCGATACAAATTTTGTACTCCTTGTACCTTTCTAAAATAAAGCTTACTGACAGGATGGTGGAACTCACTAGAAACTAGAGCACAATAATGTAAAAATATTATTAAAACATTGAAAAGCTTTAAAAACACACCTAGACACACTTGAGCGGAAAAACTATTAAAATCGGGGATTATGTTTTTTTTTTCAAATGAAAAGAAGAAGAAGACCTTTTTTAATCAACAGTTATAATGATAAGTTAAAATGATAAAATTTTTCAATATTTAGTTAATTTATAGAATAATTTCCTTTGACGAAAGATCGAGTCCAGTGCTGGTTCAATGGGAAAACAAAATGAAAAATTTTCTAACGAAATATAAAACACCCGCACCAATAAATCTAAACATATACCAGTCGGCAAATTCAGTAATTTGCAATTTTCGCGTTCGAAATTAATCGACTAGCTTTTTACGACGTTATTTGGCTCATTCGCGTCGCATTAAGAGTGCTTTATCCATAAATAAATATTAAATATTTAATTATTATCCGCATAATTTAATTCCGCAAATATTTGGAGAACATAAGCGTGGTCTTATGTTTAAACGAATACATATTTCCGTTTTTTTTGCCCCAAAAACTATAAAACGCTTAGGAACTTTATCTTTTATACCATGACGAATTACGATTTTTATTTGTTTGTTTGTTTGTATTTACTAACAAACTCATTCATGTGAATATTACGTATTTCAGGTTAGGTATTACTTCAGAGTTAGATTTTCTGTCTAGTTTTATTCTGTCAACATCGATATGAACAAAGATATTTAGTATTTTATACAATGTATCGATCCAAATTTTGTACTCCCTGTAGCTTTTTAAAATACAACTTGCAATGCTCTCCGTATTTACTGACAGAATGGCGGAAGTCACTAGAGACCAGAGCACAATAGGGTAAAAATATTATTAAAACATTCAAAAGCTTTAAAAACACACCTAGACAAACTTGAGCGCAAAAACTACTAAAATCGGGGATTATGTTTTTCTTTTCAAATGAAAATATGAAGACGACTTTTTTCAGTCAACAATTATAATAATAAGTTCAAATGTTAAAAAATTTCAATATTTACAGTTTGCGGAAGTAATGATATAATTAGTTTATTTATAGATTAATTTTCTTTGACGAAAGATCGAGTTTAATGCTGGTTCAAAGGAAACGCAAAATGAAAAATTTTCTAATGAAATATAAAACACCCGCACCAATAAATCCAAACATATACCAGTCGGCAAATTCAGTAATTTGCAATGTTCGCGTTCGAAATTAATCGACTAGCTTTTTACGACGTTATTTGGCTCTCGCAAGGTAATTTCATTCACGTCGCATTAAGAGTGCTTTATGCATAAATAAACATTAAATATTTAATTATTATCCGCATAATTTAATTCCGCAAATATTTGGAGAACATAAGCGTGGTCTTATGTTTAAACGAATGCATATTTCCGGTTTTTTTTTGCCCCCAAAACTATAAAACGCTTAGGAACTTTATCTTTTATACTATGACGGATTACGATTTTTATTTGTTTTGCGAAATAACAACGCTCCTATTTAAACACTGTCAACGGTTTACTTAAGTAATTGCTGCGTCTGCGTTTTTTCAGTTTAAAGATCGCGTTTTAAGTTAAGACCAAAACGATTTTGCTGAGTTTCTTCTTTGTTTTTGTGTTTGACGATGCCGGTGCCCTAACAGAGCAAATCATAAAATGATTAATTATATATTCGATTCCATATACAGGGTATCTATAACAGATTTCCTCAAACCTACGTCCGAAAATTCAACCTTTCAATTATCAAACTTGTTTCAAATTCGATTTTTATTTTAATCTTCTTGTCCAGTTTCTTGAAATTTTGTAGTCACATGTATTGAAGCGAAGGGCTAACCAAAGCTAACCTTAATTCGATATTTATGGCAAAAAAAATGGACACCACTGACATTTCTCCTGTTTTGTATTTTTTATAGAATAAACAATTCAAAATATCAGTTTATTTCGTAACCCATAACATTAAATATATTTTTGTCAAGAAAATGCAGTTTTTCTATCGCATTTTTTATTTTTAGCAAAGCATTTCAGGACGTACGTTTTAAAGGCCTTTTTTATAGTCTCGTATATGATGATGATTCTGCAAAATCAACAGGAAATCGCGCGTTTAGCGATAATACACGAATTGAAATTCCGCTTAATCCGTGTGTTTGCACAGGGTGTGTTATTTTTAATGAACATTACGTTCGTAGCCGAATATATCAATTATCTGTCGATATTAAATTACCTATATAAACAAACTTCAGTTTACTTTTCGGGTTTGCTAATATTGTTGCGGGAAAACCCATCGGAAAACCACAAAGGTGATTAGATCTATCTTCGTGCTAAAAAATATAGTTTTTGCACCTCAGCTGCCACGTGATGTATGGCAAGATCATCCCACGGAAGAAAACCAATTAAAACACTTAAAGCAATGTACAAACAGGTAAAAAATCGAAAATAACTGGAGCAAAAAAACAGATTTGAGAGTACCTCTAACGTTATCTAAACCGCTAAGCTTACACTTTATGAAATCTTATATTTCATTTCATTATATTTCTTCATATTTCGGTGATTACTAAAAATGATAATCGAAATTTTCATTCATTTAGAATGAAAATACGCACCTTTAACAAATTTGAGATGACATTTACAACTTGAGCACTCGGAAACAATACGTTTCGTATGTCAACATACATAGGTAGTGTTAAGACTGGTCAAGTGACCACTTTTTAATTGACTAGTCAAAAAATGTTTCAAATAACATCTTGCAACTGTAGAGTGTTATCTATAATTATTTAATAATAATATGTATTTGATATTAAATTATTATGCGTTTGTGATGTCTTATTTACCTATAACCCTCTTCAAGGAATACCCGAATACGATGCTTAGTGACTTCATTTGGTTTCCAGAACGACCACAACGGCGACGTAACCTACAATATAAATAAATAAATAGAAATTTTATGTTATTTTAAAAATTATTTCGGTCAATTGACACAAAAAAAAAATTGGCCGGTTAATTCCTCAACCCTACATAGGGAATTTGAAAAAACAGTGCTCTTGGCTCTCCTTCTCCTTTGGAAAGAATGTAGAACAGACGGCACATCACATTCCTGTTAATAAGTTTTGTTGATAATGATAACGCTACCTAATTTCATGGTTTTGAATCTTAAAACTGTCTATCACCTTACAAGTTATTAAAAAAGCCATTAAATATTTGTGTATAATTTTGTTATAAATTTTGTTGAGTAATCATTCGTGCTTTCAACATTCGCATAATAATTTTAGAAAATATATTCATCGTACATCGTACTTAAAAACATACCTACAGAACAGACTACTGTCACATCACATTTCTTAAATTATCAGTTATTTATAAAGTAATGATTTTATAATATTTTAAAAAAACCGTTCCATGTTACTAAGTCTATGATGACGTCAAATGCCAGTAAATTAATTTTCTTGATAATGATAATGATACTGGCTTAGTATTTCATATTTTAAGGGTTTTGCATCTTAAAAATTTCTGAAACAAGTATTGCTTATTAAGAAAATACAGCAAATTCGTGATTCAATCAACATTAAATTCTAACCTCATTTGACTATTAAAATCGTTGACAGAACCCATGCGCAAAGTTTCCTAAACCACTAAAACTAAGTGAAATCGTGTCTATATGGTTAGTCGAGCTTTACACAAATATTGCATAAACGTTGAATTTGATTTACACGTATTTTTGTAATCTCGGTCATATGTTCAACGCTCGCGAAACCGCAAATCATTTTTTTTTATCGTTTTTCTCGCAACGGCTCTACCGCTGCATCAATCACTTAAGCAAATTAAAGCGTTGCTTTTTTTTTGTTTAATAACTTTTTTACTTTGAACCGCAACAATTGCCGAAAAAGGCAAACGCGTTAATCGCGCCGACGGCGGCCTCGAACGACAACATCCGCCACAATAATAATTAATAACTATTATGTTATCAGCGTTGATGAAAAGCAGCGTCTTACGCAACATTTTCGGTACCACGCTTAAGGATGATTAATTAGTTTTTAATGTTCGATAAAAATCGCGTTTTAGAAACAATTGATATTTTTGCGTCTTAGAAAAAAAAAAGAACCAGAAAAAACAAAACCGTCAAATAAAAGATGCAGTTACCCAGATAATAAAGATTCATAAAAGATTAATCTTTCGTTTTTTTGTCAGAAATTGGCCAAAATTCGGCAGGAAAGAACATTTTTTCAGCAAACCAAAAAGTTTTCGTTTTTGACTTAATAAAAAGCAATCCAGCCCATTATGGGTTTAAATTTTAACCTTTGTCAATTCTGGTAATCAGACAACACTCAGTAAAGGTATTCCTGTTGTTTTGCAAAAATGTACCCAAAAACTTAATGGTCGCAGAAAAAGTAACACGTTTCATAAACCTTCAAAACAAAATGCCGTTTATCAAACTTTTTGAATTTTGGTTTGCTTACCTGATAATTAGGATCAACCACATTAATTTTTGAGCTGAAGTGTTATGGTATTAAAAAAAAAACTTTTTATCATGATTTTTTATCACTCCACATATTTTTATATGATATAAAAGTTTTTTTTGGCAGTCACCTACATACGAGGTCTTAACAGAATATATGTAAAGAAAAAATGGTACGCTATTGCTAAAAATTTATACTTGTTTCTAAGGCAATTTTGATTCA